CCTGGTTGTGGGCTCAATCCCCAGTGGGGACGTGCAGGAGGCATGCCCCATCCATGTTTCTCTCTCATCGATGTTTCTTTCCCTGGAATCAATAAAAACATATTTTTTTTAGAAAAAGAGGGTTGAGGGTGTAGACGTGGGCAGATTTCAGGACCTCGCCTTGGGGGAGCAGAGCTTTGGGAGCAAAGACCCAGCCGCAGGGCTGGGAGGGTGGGCTGGGCCATTTCAATGAGTCTGTGTGGCTGAACAGGGACATAGAGAAACAGCAAGAAATTAAAGCTTAGAAAGCTCTATTGACCTATGAATCAGAAAGTCACAGTTCGATTTCCAGTTAGGGCACATGCCCAGGTTGCGGGCTCAATCCCCAGTCGGGGGTGTGCTGGAGGCAGCCAATTGATGATTTTCTGTCATCATTAATGTTTCTCTCTCTCTCTCCCTTCCTCTCTGCAATCAATAAAAATATGTTAAAAAAAACCCCACAAAAAACTCTGCGTGCCACAGGAGGAGTTCAGGTGCGGAGCTCTGGAGGGAGGGGAACGTGGGAGTCAGGGCTGGGCTCTGGAACAGCCCCTCTCAGGCCTGAGTGAGATCAGAATCACCGGGAGCGCTTGTGACCGCCCAGACGGCTGGCCCCACCCGAGTTCCTCACTCCTGGGACGTGGGGCTGGCTGTGGCGATTGGTGGTGAGTGGGTGGCCTGGAATCGAACCCTTTTTCTTCTCCTCAGACACCACCACCCGTCTCCTGCTCGGAGCCATTGCCGTCCTCCTGTTCGCCATCCTGGTGGTGATGAGCATCTTGGGTGAGCATGGATGTCGGGGCATTTATGCGGTTCAGTGTACCACCTCCTCCGAGGCGTGTCTAAGCAGGTCAAGAGAAGTTCCCGGTGTACCACGAATTCTATGGGGGACAAAGTGAATAGCAAACCCAGTGTTAGTTCTAGAGGTGATTTAAGCTTAAAATACTCTTTTCACACATCAACTCTACAAGTCCCCTTTACTAAGCGATGCGGGGAAAGTGGAGATGCCGTGAGGACTCAGAGCGAACTCCAGGGGGGTTAGGCAGGCAGTGCTTCTTGGAGATGAGTTTGGGACAAGGGCCTTTAAAGATCACATTCATTCATTCAGGGGACATTTATAGAGGCTGCTGTGTGCTAGGCCCTGGGCGAAGTACTAGAGATTTAAAAAAAGATGTTTGTTATCTCCCTTGTGCAAATATAGAGGTGTTCCTGCCTGGGGTATGGGGGGGTGTGGGGGAGCTTCCCAGAAGGGGAAACACGGGTGCCAGACCCTGATGAATGAATGGGGCCTCCCTCCAGGAAGCAGAGGGAGCAGAACAGCCCAGGGGGTGGGGCCTGAGAGGGGAGGGATGAAGACCAACGGCCCTGTCACTATGGCAGCCACCAGGGAATTTGGCTGCTTTTAATGGACTCAAGGCAACGTATGTCGTGGGGCCAGAAGGGTTTGCAAAGTGATTTGTCTTTAATCTTTGAGACGCACCGTAAAGCCAGAGGTGGGCACCTCCAAGTGGGCAAATTAACCCACTTTTAACACCAGCCCTTGGCAAACCCTCGCCTCAAGGTGTTCATGGTATGTAGGAAAGTGTGTTAATGAAAAAGGTCTGGTGAACCGTTTTCGGCAGCTTAGTTTCCACTGGAAAAGTTGCTACAAATTATATCAGGCTCCTCTTGTCTTGCTGGGGGGTCAGGGAAATGTGTAAAGTAGCACAGTGTGATTTCAGTGAAGTCTCCTCAGAGATCCTTGTGGAGAAGCAGCAGACATGCAGCCACACCAGGGCCAGTAGTCCCGAGGTGACCTGCAGCGCACGGAGCGGGTGTGCAGTGCGCGCTGGTTAACCGGTGTCCGCGTGGCTGGGGTCCCCGCGGGCTGGAGCGCCATCGGCCTGTCTTGGCTCTGTCTGGTCTACGTTTCATCAATCACTTGTATGAAAACAAACAGAATATATGCTTATAGAATGTGTAGGTGATACAATCCAAAGAGGGATGTTGAATGTGACAGACCAGAAAAGAAATCAAGATTAATGTGTATCTTTAAAAACTCAGAGGAGCTAACATGAACGAGATAAACATGGGAGAAATACATGTAAGACCCTTCATTTGGGTTTGAAATTGATTTATACGTGTTCTGGCCCCTGGGGAGACCCCACTTGGAGAGAGATCATATGAAAACAATCAGCGCACGACTTCATTCCTCTTGGCAAGGAGGCCCTTTGAGACTGACAGACGCTCTGGGCTTCCTTCCCAGAACAGTGCGCGTGTGTGCATACGCCCACAGACTCCTCTCTGGCGGGTCTGCAGGCCGGGAGCCCACGGCAGCTGGAAGGCAGCGTGGTGATCCCTGTGGCTGGGGGCGGGCCCATCCGAGCTTCCTGTCTGATGGGAGGCAGCGTTGTGACGATGCGGGCATCCTGTGGTGAGCCAGGCAGGATGGAGAAGGGTCTGGAGGAGAGGCCATGTCTGTTTAAGCCTCGAGAGGGAGGCTGCTGTCCTTCAAGTGGGCGCTCGGGCGACCGGCGTTGCTCTGGGTCACCCCAGAGGCAGATCGCGGGCCAGCAGGTCTAGGTCACGGGAGGGCAGGTGGGAACTCAGAACCGGAGAAGCGCTTCCAGCAGTCAGTGGGGAAGGGCTGCCCCGTTAGCTCATGGGGCCTGGCCAGGGCCCACCGAGCCTGCGGGTGGGTGCCGCCCAGGCTGGAGAGAGGACGCGTCCGTGGCCTCCGCGTCCCTTCTGAATCGGAGTGTCTGGGGTCCCATGCCCTGAAGAGGTCAGAGAGAGAGAGGTGGTCTTAACCCAGGAGCTAACCTGCCACGTCCCCCCTGGTGTCCCGCAGACCTCCCAAATTCCTCTTCCTGCTGCCTTTAGCCACCCACCTTCTCCCTGCCAGGCGCTGTGAGGTGCTCACCTGAGCCATGTCAGTGCGGGGCACCCAGGCGGGGCCGGTGGGGGGAGCCGCGGGGGCAGCGTGGGGTTATGCGGGCGGGGCGCGCTGTGATGCTGACCCCTCTCTTCCTGCAGCTTCCAAGGGCTGCATCAAGTGTGAGGCGCCCTGCCCGGAGGACTGGCTGCTCTACGGCAGGAAGTGCTACTTCTTCTCCGAGGAGCCGAGGGACTGGAACACCGGCCGGCAGTACTGCCACACCCACGAGGCGGCGCTGGCGGTGATTCAGAGCCCCAAGGAGCTGGTGAGCGCTGGGTGGGGGGGCCCTTGGGGACCCTGCCCTGGGACTCGGTGACGTGTTTCCAGAGCCCCCTGAGCCGCCGCACAACCAGCGTGTGCAGTCAGGCCCCTCAGGGTCTGCAGGCCCAGGGGTGGCGTGTCCGCGACTCTGGTCAGGGCCAGCTATGTCGCCGCAGGCTGGGTTGCTGAGCTCAGCTCGGTATTGTCACGTAAGAATGACAAGTGACCAGTGCCCCTAAGAAATCACATCTCATCTCCTAGTCCAACTGGGACCTGAGCTCTTGTGTCACCTCCAAAACGGTTTTATCCACAGACACGTGGGAGAGACAGGGTGTCTGTGGACTGTGCTGGAGTCGGGTGCAGGGTGTGGGGATGCGGGTGCAGGGTGTGGGGATACGGGTGCAGTGGTGTGGGGATGCGGGTGCAGGGTGTGGGGATGCGGGTGCAGTGTGTGGGGATGCGGGTGCAGGGTGTGGGGATGCGGGTGCAGTGGTGTGGGGATGCGGGTGCAGTGTGTGGGGATGCGGGTGCAGTGTGTGGGGATGCGGGTGCAGGGTGTGGGGATGTGGGTGCAGTGGTGTGGGGATGTGGGTGCAGGGTGTGGGGATGCGAAAGGGAGGAGAATCTAACAATCCCTTGTCTCTGATGCACGGAATAATAGCCCCTTCTTCAGAGAAAGGCTAGAGCAGCGGATCTCAACCTGTGGGTCGCGACCCCTTTGGAGTCGAACGACCCTTTTACAGGGGTCGCCTAAGACCATCGGAAAACACATATATAATTACATATTGTTTTTGTGATTAATCACTATGCTTTAATTATGTTCAATTTGTAACACTGAAATTGGGGGTCACCACAACACGAGGAACTGTATGAAAGGGTCGCGGCATTAGGAAGGTTGAGAACCACCGGGCTAGAGGCTGTAGGTAGAGGGACGATCGCCCTGGGCGCTGAGGTTGTCCCAGGTGCCTATGAAGTGGGCGAGCCCAGGCTTCCTGCGAGTCGGGAGCTGGCACCTGGGCTGCTGAGCCAGGGCACCAACCTTGTGCCAGGGTGCCTGGGGCAGGCCCCAGAGCCGGGTCCCCGAGGGGCCACTGCAGGCGGCGGCTGGGCGGTCAATGTGAGTGCAGGGCACGCTCTGACCCTAGGCCTCACTTCTGGGTGCAGTTAGGCGCCCCTCTTGGCGTCTGTATATCTGGGGAGCCCTGAGCAGTCAGGAGACCACACCTGACTGAGCCTGCCTCTTTCCTTGGTGCAGGAATTTATGTTCAAGTTCACGCGGAGGGAGCCCTGGATTGGCCTTCGCAGAGTCGGGGGACGAGTTCCACTGGGTCAATGGGGAGCCCTTCGACCCCGACACGTGAGCTGAGGCTTTGTCTTCGTCCTCTGCCCTGAGCTTAGCCCGGGCAGGGCCTCAACCCCGCACCTCCCGAGGGACCCGCCCGGTGCTGTGCTAGGAGAGCTCCCCGAGGTTCAGCCGTGTGACAGGCCCCTTAACGACATCGCTCTGCTCCATCGCGCCTCCTGCTGCCACCCTGTGACTCCCTTGTCTGTGCAGGGCCTGTCCGCAGGGCTGTGCGGGTCAGCCCCAAGGGCAGGGAGGAGGGTCCGTGCCTGGACGT